CAGGTCTTTTCCAGAGCTTGCTAAGGACAAACAGCTCCAGGCCCTGTGCACACTGGGTCAGGCCCATCTGTGACTGCCCTCTTCCTTTGGTCCCTCCAGGCCCTACATCATTCGTGGTATGGCACCCCCAACAACGCCTTGCAGCACAGATGTGTGCGACAGCGACTACAGCACCAGCCGCTGGAAGACCAGCAAGTACTACCTGGATTTGAACTCGGACTCAGACCCTTACCCGCCCCCACCCACACCCCACAGTCAGTACCTCTCGGCGGAAGACAGCTGCCCGCCCTCACCTGTCACCGAGCGGAGCTACTGTCACCTCTTTCCCCCACCTCCGTCCCCCTGCACGGACTCATCCTGACCTTGGCCGCCCACCTCGGCCTCGCTGTGCCCCTGTAAATATTTTTAAATATGAACAAAGGAAAAAATATATTTTATGATTTAAAAATAAATATAATTGGGATTTTAAAAACATGAGAAACGTGAACAGTGACGGGGGTGGGCTGGGCAAACCTTGTACAATGGAGAAAATATTTATAAACTTGATTTTTTTAAATGTAACTGCCATTCTTTCATGCCCTGTGAGTATCTGAGTTGCATGTTCCCAATGAATGAATGCCAGCCCCTCCATGGCTGTTGTGTGCGTGTCTTCCTGAGCATGCATATCGTCTCTGTCGGGTCTCGGACAGAGGTGGCATCTTCCCCAGGAGGCAGTCCTGCACATAGGCAGGGCTGGCTTCCTGACCCTGACCTGTACAGTGTCATGTCATGCATACTACTCAGAGGCTCTGTGCATTTTCCATTTTGCACACAACCCTGCAATCTATGTTCCTGGGCTTCGTTGGCACACTGGCCCAAACTGGTGCCTGTGGTGAGGACCAGAGGCCAGGATGCCCCTTAGGACCCCTTCCCCATCTGTGTGGACCCCACTGGATAAGGCTGTGCGAGCTTCACTTTGCCAGGCCACAGTTGCTCTGGGCTGTGCCTTTTATCATCAGTGGCACCCAGCCAACAGAATCTGAGAATAGTGTATGTCCTCCCCTAGGTGGTGCTAGAGAGTGCACAGAGGGGCCTGGCCCCCACCCTAGGGAAGGGTCTCATCCTATGGCAGGAGGTGGAGAAGTTGAACAGGAGGTGTATGGTTCTCCTGGTAACTCCCAAGACCAAGAGGGAACAGGGACTATCCATCACATCCTCTGTGAGGGCTGCAGGAGAGGACATTTGTGGTGATATGCAGAACACACTGCTTCCTACAGGGACTGCTCCATAGGAAGAGGGCTAGGGAACAGTAGACACCCTAAAGAGTTGCTCCCCTGGCCTGTGACTACTCAGGAGTCCCCCATGGTGGCGGTCAGCATCGCAGTGACAAAGGCAGGCTGACCTGGCAGGTGCTGCCACTCAACGCTTGGCTGGGGAGTTGGAGGTCTACCCCAGACCCCTTGGTAAACGGGCAGGCGGGTTTGCATGTGACTGACTGTAGGGCCCATGCTGACGGATGGCCTTTTAGTTTGCTCATGCACCCGAGGCACTCATTGAGGCTTGGCTCTCTACCTGAGCAGGCCAGCAAAATCTCTGGACACAGTTGGCTACGTGGTGGAGGCCCCCAGGAGCATCTCTGATTTGGTTCCTTCTGCCCAGTGTGGGTTCGAGCAAGGGGTAGGGAAGGAGGAACCTGGGCTGCTGACCCTTGAGTTGAGTCACCCTCTACAGCTTTCTGTCTCCCCTAGTCCTGAGTGTATCCTGTCACCCCACAGAGCCATTACATGGGTAGAGATTTTGTTTCCCCCAATTGTTGCAGGTCTAGGGTTGCTGGCTGGGGCTCAGAGGCCTTGCCTCTGGACCTTTTCGGCTGGGGGGAGCCAGGAGCCAGCCATGATCACCTACCAGATGCCAAGTCAGGAAGCACTGACAGCATGCGGAGCTCTGCACTTAAGTCATTTGCATGCTGGGAATCCAGAATCAGTGGGCCCCTGCCTGTCCTGTGACTTTTCCTGGAGATAGCAATTGTCTCTTTGCCCCAGGAGAGGGGAAGAGATCCTTTTATTTTTATTTCTGTATATAAGTGTATTGCCTGCATATGTGTAAGTGCACCCGTATCATGCAGTGCCCTCAGAAGTCAGAAGAGGCTGTCGGATCCCCTGGAACTGGAGTTCCAGACGTTTTTCAGCCATCATGTGGGTGCTGGGATTCAAACCCAGGTCTTTTGTAAGAACAGCCAGTGCTCTAACCGCTGATCCATCTGTCCAGCCTCCCTCGTCAGCAAGTCTTAATGCTTCTAGAACCTGAGAAGCCTTGTGAATCTTGTAATTTCAGGGGCTTCCTGAGACTTGAGAGTTTTATTTACTTCTTGAGCCTTACCCTTTCTCTCCCAGGTTTTTTTAAAGCATTTTTAAAAATGTATTGTTTAGCTGGGTGCGACGGTACATGCCTTTGATCCCAGCAGAGGCAGGCAGCTCTCTGTGAGTTCAAGGCCAGCCTGGTCTACATAGTGAGTTCCAGGACAGCTAGGGCTACAGGGAGACCCTGTCCCAAAAAGACCAAAAAAAACAAAAAACAAAAAACAAAAACGGTATTGTTTATTTGAGCGACTTCTCTTTTTTAAATTTTATTTATTATTTTTATGTGTATGCGTGTATTGCCTGCATGTAGGTAAGTGCACCTGTGTCGTGCAATGCCTGTGGAGGTCAGACGAGGCCATCAGATACCCTGGGATTGAAGTTAGACAGTCGTTAGTGGCCATGTGGGTGCAGGGATTTGAAACCAGGTCTTCTGCAAGAACATCCGCTGAGCCATCTCTCCAGTCCCTCCCAGGCTTTTTGAAATTTTTTAAAAATTTATTACCTTTTATTTTATGTGTATAAGTGTGTTGCCTGCATATACATGTGTTTTGGGGCTGAAGGGATGGCTCAGCGGTTAAGAGCACTGACTGCTCTTGCAGAGGACCTGGCTTCGATTCCCAGCACCCACGTGGTGGCTATGAACTGTCTTTAACCCCAGTTCCAGGGGAATCCAATGCTCTCTTCTGACCCCCGCTGCATTGCATGACAAGGTGCACTCACATACATATAGGCAATACACTTGTACAAATAAAATATTTTTAAAAAACAGCCAGTGCTCTTAACCACTGAGCCATCTCTCCAGCCCCTCCCCTCCCAGTCTTAAGGAGCTCTCTTCAAGAGGGAACAGTTTTCTTTGGAATAGTTACACAGCCCTCCATACAGATGCTCAAGGTTGGAGATACAGATGCATGGGTAAGACAATCAGGCAAACCCAGCACTGGCACTGTGGACCCTGGGGCCATCTTGGTATTGAGGTAGGAGAACATCAGCGCTTCCTGGAAGGGCTAGTGTCTCAGCTGTGGTGTATACAAGGGATGTCATTAACCTGGGTATTCAACTTTGCAGCAGCCTAGCTAGGTGTCCCTGGTTTGTCATTGAGGAAGTCAGGCTGGGGTGCAAAGTTGTAGAGAGTGAGCGTTCCATTCACCTGTTGCCTTCTACCCACCCTCAAAACCCCTTGCTTCTCCTTACCTGTGAATTTTTGCAGATCCCAAGCCTTAGTTTCTCTCTTCACCCAAATGTGTTCTTTCTTCCCTGGAAGTCTGGTGGCCACTGGGTAGTCAATGTGGCCACCAGATAGTCAATCTGCCCGGAGGTTCTTTCTACTGACTGGCAACTACCAGCCTTCCTTATTGGGAAGGCCAACACATCCCCATCTGAGTCTCCTTATACTATGGGAATAGGAGGGAAAGAAAGTTGAACGTCTTGGCTGACCTCCCAGAAGCCTCTGATTCCTCTTCTCAAGCCTCGGGACCTCTTGACCTGACCCAGTACTTGCCTGGATGCCAGGCTCCTGGATACAAGCCCAGGCCCTTCTGGACTTTGTCCTCAGGAAGGGAGATGGTGGCCCCACTCCAGCCCCTGGGTCTGTGCCAGAACAGGGGCAGTGGGTCTGTGTGCAAAGTTTAAGGAACAAGAGCTGGCTGCTCATTTCACTTGACCTTCTACTGATCATGCTTGAAAATATTACACACAATTACATGTGTATGTTCTTCAAAACGGATTGGAAAATTAACCACTCAACTCCAGGAGGGTTGAAGGCTGGGAGAGGGTAGAGATTCCTCAGACCTTCAAGTTTAGGCCAGGTGTGGTGGCACATGCCTTTAATCCCAACACTTGGAAGGCAGAGGTAGGCAGATTTCTGTGAGATCGAGGCCACCCTGGTCTACATAGTGAGTTCCAGGACAGCTGGGGCTGCAGGGAGACCCTGACTCAAAAAGACAAAAAGGAAAAAAAAAAAAAATCAAGTTTTCAGACACAGGAAGCCCTCCCTGACTTTAATATGTCCGAACAGGGAAGAAATCAGTGCACCAATGTTGACAACCCCAGGTTGTTGGGTTATCTTGTAGTTGTAGCAGGAATGTTCCTGGGACTCAGTAAATCCGGGATAGAATAATGCAAAGCACAGCAGGTGTTTGATGATAAAAGAGCAAAAGGATGCTGGGCCGGTGGGGGCCGGGTATCTCAGTGAGAGAGCTGGGCTTTCCTTAGGCTGACAGCCAAGATGGCAGGTCCCAGACCTGGCTACCTGCTCCTGCCTAAGGTCCAGCCCTTACTGTTACCCTGCCCTGGCCATCTGCCTCCCTAACTCTTCACTGACTGGCCTCTATCTTTTTGAGACAGGGTCTTCCTGTAGCTGCAGTTGGCCTGGAACTCGCTATATAGACCAGACTGACCTTGAACTCACACAGATCCACCTACCGCTGCCTCAGAGTGCTGGAATGCTGGAATTAAAGGTGTGTGCCACCACACCCGAAACTGGCCCTAATTTTAACTGTGCTTGGCACTAACTATGTGGCCTCAGGCATGGCCTCTAGCCTCTCTAGACCTCAGGATCAAAGTGAGGAAAGTCTGTCCAGGTTTGCTGCCTCTCTAGTCACCTGGAGTGGTGGGTGGGGATGCAGATCAGTAGATACTATCTCCTGCACTTTACTGATCTGGAGAATCAGACAGGTTAGATCACCTGGCTAAGGTCACCTAGCTAGTCCTCCTGTCTGAATGCTCTCTGGATTGTAGTTGGTTAGTCTGTAAAATGGGTTCTCTAAGCTGCTGTTGAGTCCACCAGCAGTGAATTCTTTCTGGAGCCTGCCTCCAGCCACAGCTCTCTTCAAAGGTGGGAGTGGGTTTGCATAGCTGTGCACATCTCTCCCTGTCTGCCCTGGTAGTGGAGCTCAGAGCCTGAGTGAGTGAGGTGGAGGTATGGCCATACTGAATTGAGGGTAAGAAGCAAGTGCCCCAAGCAGGTAGGTCCTGCACCCTCCAGCCCAGAAGCCAGGCTCTGTTGCTTTTCCCAGAGGCTGGGCTCCTAGAGGCAGCCTGGAGAATCCATGTAGGAACCACAGTGTTCTTCTGAGCTGGAGCAGCAAACCTTGTCCACACCACCAGGGAACCCTTGTTTGAGATGTGAGCATGGAGGAACGGCACTCAGCACTGGCCCTCCAGGCCTGTGTGACTCAGCCACCTCTGCTACCTGCCACATCTGTCTTTTAGGAGCTCCAAAACCCCACTCCGGGGTCTTCATGTCACCCCATCCACTTCCTGCCACCACTACCCCAGGGGTCTGGAGCCCTGCCTTATCTTCCAGGAGGGCTTGTCCCTCAGCCTCATCATCTTGGTGTGCATGTTTCTTAGATGGTGTGCAAACCGCCTTTCAGGGACATCAGATCTAGTGCTCCCAGCCTGCATCTGGAGGGGCTTCCAAGAGTGGGTGATCGTGCTGACCCCAGCGGCCAGCTGTCCTGTGTTTTTATGAGATGTTATGAGTCCTCTGTGAACAAGGCAGGTTATTCATAGGGGCAAAAGGTGGGCATCTTTGTGTTTCTTATTGCTGTGATAAAACTCTTTTTCCCTTAAGTTGCTCAAACTGGGAACTCAAAGTGATCGAGGCTGGTCAGGAGACAGCTCGCTTTCACCTTTTTATACAGTTCCAGGTGATTCTAGATTTCATTGGGTTGATAATTAAAACTAATCATCACAGTGGGTAATCCTGGGTGTTCCAGCAGGCTTGGGGAGGAAGGTATCCTGATGTCCAGGACTGTATGGTTGAATATGGGAGGGGGAAAAAAACAGCACACCTTCCTTGAAGGTCTGCATTGTACCATAGGTGGTGGTGTGTGACACAGCTAGGGACACTCAACACCCCTCAACCTCCTTCACCCTGACCCCTCCACTTGGCTGAAGGGAATAGACAGAAGACAGATGCTCCACAAAATTCAGACCCTGGAGAATGCGGGCATCGATCCCGCTACCTCTCACATGCTAAGCGAGCGCTCTACCATTTGAGCTAATTCCCCGGCTATAGACGTGTTCTTCCGCTGCGGCACCTATCGTGGCTCACGTCATCACCGGTTCCCGATGACCCTCGCCCCGCTGTCATCGCACCATCTCATTGGTTCCTTTGCACCCCGAGCCCCGTAGCCGTGATTGGTTTGGCTCAACTTAGTTTTAAACCGCATGGGCGATTCTGATTGGTGGCCCAATGCGTCCGTCACGCGGAGGCCCTGCTGTTGCTACGGCGTAGAGAGACCCAGCTCGGGCTTCTCCCAGTTTCTGATTTGTCTCACAGACTTCGGGGTCCTAGAGGTTCCGGATCCGTCAAGTCCATGGGAAAAAGAATGCGCCGCTCTCATTTGACTGACGCTTCCTGAGAGCCAATCGGAGTGGAAGAGAGGAAGTCGCTGGTCGATCCAATAGGTTGCGGGGGGCGGGAGAGGTGGACCAATGAGCTTCCAAGAGGGGGCGAGGTCTAAGCTGTGATTGGCTGCGCGGCGGCCGGAGGGAGGGCGGGGGAGCTCAAGGCCTGCTTGATACGTCCGCCATTTTGGGCGCTTCGCGGATGGTGTCGGTGAGCGCGTTTCCCGCCTGAGCACGATCAGCGGCGGGTCGTGGGCACCTCCAGGTAACGGGGGGAGGGGGCGGCGGCGCGGGTCGCGCGGGCCTGGCGGCCGGAGGCGGGGGTCGAGGGCGGGGGAGGCGGCTCGGCCGGACTGGGGCGGTGCGGGGAAGGAGCGTCCCGGCCCCTCTCCCCTCCCCCCCGGAATCGGCTGTTCGGCTGCCCCGGAGGCGCGGCGTCCAGTCCTCTGCCGGGTCCCGGCCGCCCGCTCCTGTCAGCCCGGCCCCGCGGGCCGCGCGGGTGTTGAACTTTGGACGTGGCGGTGACGCTCCGGAGCCTGGCTCCGGGCGACGCCAGGCCGGGCGAGCCCCGGGTCGAGTCGGGGTCGGCGGCCGGGTCCGCGCTCCGCTGCTCGGTCTCCCTGGCAACTTGGGGTCGGGGCCTCAACTCTCCCAGCAGGCCCTGGGCGGCCCCCGTGGCCCCTGAGGAACAAGTTTTGTGGGTTTCTGGGCATTCGCCGAGGAGCCATCCGGAAACCCTTTGACCCCGCACCCCAGCACCCTGCCTCTCCGGTGCTTCTCTGCCACCTCGGGGGTGGGGTGGTCCTCCTTGGGGCCCCAAGACCCCCCCAACCTTAAGCCCCATTCACTGAACTTGGTGGTCCCGCTCGCTCTCATCAGAACTTGGACTTCGCAGTTGTAAGTGCACAGCGTGAGAAACTTAATTATCCCCGTGCTTTGACGTCTCCACCGCAGGACCTCCGGTCGTGCTGTCTCTTCGGGGACTGGCCCGAACTTTTGTTTATGTTTTGCTTTCCCTGAGGTGGGGAGGGAGCACTTGGTAGTCGTTCTCTGCGCCCTCCAGCCCTGGCTCCGGTGGATACTGTTTCACTTGGTTGAGAGAAGTTTGTTTTGGTTTTTGTCCTCAAGGTCATGTTGCAGATGAAGCAGCAAGTGAGAGACTTCAGATTTCCTACCCCTGAACCAGGCCTTGGAGTAAGATGAGGCGGCCCGTCGTTGGTGGCGCCAGAACTTGCTTTTGGGCTGCCTGGGTTCAGATTTTGCTTTGACCACTTTCTAGCCCCGTGACCTTGGGCAAGTTGCTCGCTCTCTGCTTCCTCTGGAACGTGGGAATAAGCGTCTGTCCACAAACTTAGACATGTAACTGAGTATGTGTGTAAATAAGTTAGCACAGGAAAGGTAGCAAGAACCATACTTTTGCAGATAACATCAGTCACTATAATAAACCAAATTAAACTTGCTTTTCACCATTTATTTTTGTTTCGTTGAGATAGGGTCTCATGTTAGCCTAGGCAGGTCTCAAACTCAGATATTCAGTATTCAGCCAAGAATGGCCTTGAATTTCTGACCTCCCCTTCTTCCCTAGCGCTAGGAGTGGAGGTGTGAGCCCTGGCACCCCACCTAAACTTAGATTTTAAATGTTTGGGTGCAGTTAGGCGGGCCAAAGAATGAACTGGGAGTTACTTGTTTTGTCTAAAGCAGTACTTGACATAGAAGGACACCCTCAGGAGCTTAAGCAGGACAGTTCAGGTACCTCTGGGTACGGCTTCTGTGTGATGCCCTAAACCAGTAACTTAAGGTTATCTTGGTTTATTCCTGGTTACTATTAACAGTTGAAAGACTGCAGTGTTGGGATGTCTTCACCGAGGTGCCAGTTGGACATCTGTCCTCTAAATGCTCTGAGTCTGACACTCTCTCAGCATCAGTTCAGTACTCAAGCTTTCAGATTGTGTAGCACTGTGTACTAGGGATGCCATCCTGGTGAAGTCTGCAGCCACCAGAATCGGACACTGAGATCCCTCTTGGGATAAGGGCTGCTCGGACGTAGCGGTGAGTGTGAACGCTTCAGGAGCTACTCTGCACTTCACTGTGTCTGACCAGGGAGTGTGTAACATTGTGTGGGTGTTACTCACGCACGCTGTCACATGTAGTCTTTTGTGCCTGCCCTGGTCTTCTCCATGGTACTTGAAAACATGCTTGTTTCTCTTAGTGTGAGTGGCTTATGATTTGGCTTGTGTCCTGCACTGCACTGGGGAAGTGTTAAGTATCTTGCTGGGGAACTACCCAGATAGGAAGAAGATTGCTTTAGAAGGCTTTTAGCTTTTTTTTGTATGGGGGGGGGTCATTTTGAGACAGGGTCTCCCTGTGGCCCCAGCAACTCATTGTGTGGACCAGGCTGGCCTTGAACTCACAGAGGTACGACTGCCTCTGCCTCCCGAGTGCTGGGATTAAAGGCGTGGTATGTTTCTTAAGTTTTACATTTTACTATGATTCAGAAGAGTAAAGAAGCGCCTCTGATGTCTACACAACTGAAACAGATTGAATACATTTTCATAAGTGCACAGGAGTCTGGCTTGATTATTGTAAGTTAGGATCTGTGCTGCATGGGGGCTGAGTCGCTCCATAGCCCAGGCTGGCCTGGAATTCACAGAGACCTGCCTCTTGACCCTGAGCGCAGGAACCAAAGGTGTGCACCACCACGCCTGACCTTTGTGGCCTTCTAAAGATGACTTAAGGTGATTTGTTTCTTTTTTAAAAAGTATTTATTAGTTTTGGGGTTGGGGATGTAGCTCAGTGGTAGAGCGCTTGCCTACCAAGCACAAGGCCCTGGGTTTGGTCCTCAGCTCCGAAAAAAAAAAATTATTATTTTTTGTGTATGAGTGTATTGCCTGCATGTATGTAAGTGTACCAGTGTCCTTGAAGGTCAAAGGGCATTCAGTTCCCTGGAACTAGAGTTATGGATGGTCGATAGCCGCTTCAGGGCTGTTGGGAACCAAACAGCCAGCGTTCTTAACCAGTGAGCCATCTCTCCAGCCCCTGATTTGTTTTCTTTTTAATTAACTTATAATAATTGTACATATTTATGTGGAACAGTATGCTATTTTTTTTTTTTGGTCTTTTTGAAGCAGGGTCTCCCTGTAGCCCCAGCTGTCCTGGATTCACCATGGAGACCAGGCTGGCCTCGAACTCACAGAGATCCGCCTGCCTCTGCCTCCCGAATGCTGGGATTAAAGGCGTGCACCAGCACGCCTGGCCTCAGCTTTTTTTAATGGAAACTTTTTCTCAGAGTTAGCCCTGGATCAGTTTACCATTTCTTCTCTTTTAGAGCAGGAGGGAGCTCAGCCTTTAGTAACCATTGCCTCCTGGTGCCCCGGCTCTGGCCCAGCTGGAGGAATCTTTGTCTGGGCAGTTGTGTGAGAGTGGAAGAGAGTGGAGGTCCTTCCTGGCCTGGGCTTAGCATCTGTAGGATCTGACTCAGGAAGGGGAAGTGCTAAGGGGAGACTGCAAGTTTGCCCAAGTGGGAATATCTGGACCCATTAAGGCAGGAAGTCATGGAGGTACTTTCTGATTTTCCATCTTGATATTCAGCATATGGCTGTGCTAAGAGAGGACATCTGTCAACCCCCCACCTCAACTAGCTACTCCCGTACCACCTCCACCTACCCTCCTTCTTCTTACTTTGTAGCCCAAGCTGGCCTTGAACATGACATCCTCCTGCCTCTGCCTCCCAAGTGCTGAGATTATAGTCATGAACCACTGTGCTCACTCCATCCACTTCAGATTTTCATATACATATATATTAATATTTGTATTTATTATTTTTATTTTATGTATATGAGTATTGCCTGCATGTATTGTACGTGCACCCATGTTGTGCAGTGCCCAAGGAGGTCAGAAGAGGGCATCGAATTCCCCATGAATTGGAGTTATAGACTGTTCTTAGCTGTCATGTGGGTGCTGGGAATTGAACCTGGGTCCTCTGCAAGAGTAGCCAGTGCTCTTAACCACTGAGCCTTCTCTCCAGCCCCTTCCCCCTTTGAGACAGGGTCTCCTTGTAGCCCTATCTGGCCTGGAACTTGATATGTAAACCAGGCTAGTCTCAAACTCAGAGATCCGCCTGCCTCTGCCTCCTAAGTGCTGGACTTTAGTGTGCCACCATGCCCAGCTTATTTTTAGTATATGAGTGTTTGTGCTGGGGTCTGAACCCAATTCCTGTGTAAGAGCAGTACATGCTCTTACACACTGAGCCATGTCTCAGCCCCTGATCGTTATGTTTTAGTCAGCGGTTATAATAATTGAGTCCTTACTCTGTCAGGACCTGCAGTCTAGTGGGAGAGATTGGCAGTTATAAAGGAGACCAGTTAATAAAACTTGTTAGGGTTGTACAGCCAGTCCTCAAGTTCCTTATTTGTGGGTTCACCCAGCTATGATTTAAATATATTAAATTCCAGAAAGTTTAAAAAGCAAAATTTGAATTTGCCACAGGTACTGAGCATGACTGAAACCTGTGAATGAAGTGATATGTAGGCTTGCCCTGTTGTAGCTGACCTCCACTCTACAGTGCTTCCATTTCTCCAGCTCTGATCTTTCAAAAACCTATAATAAACTGATTATTGTTCTAACTAGCAACTATCTCCCCTCCCTGTAGAGGGAAGGACTGTCACTAAAAACTAATTCTAGCAGGGTGTGGTGGCACAGACCTTATTCCCAGCATTCCAGAGGCAGAGCCAGCAGCAGGTGGATCTCTGTGAGGTAGAGACCACTCTGGCCTATATTTGGGGTTCTAGGCTACAAGGAGACCCTGTCTCAGAAAACAAACCAAACCCACTAAATCTTATTCAAAGTCAAAAGTCCATAAGAACCAATCTCCAAAGTCAGTCTAAAACTTATTACTTATTTATTGTGTGTATTTGTGTATGTGTGTACAGGTGCCACAACATGTGTGGAGAGAGATCAAAGGGCATCTAGATTGTCTGGAAGCAAAGAGAAAATTTGAGAGGGTGTTTGGAAGAGCTTGTAGAGCTTCATATTTTCATGCTGAACTGGGACATTTTGGCATCATGAGCTTTGCAGAGAGCGCCTTCTCTCAAGTGGATGCTCGATTGCCTGTCTCTTAGAGCTAGCCACGGCTGCTTCTGGAGTGATTGGTGCACTTGGTCTCAGCCAGAAGGCCAAGGAGCAGTTAGCAGTTTTTGTGAAGACAACACATTTAAACACAGTAGAAACAGATTTTATTCATGTAGGCAAGTTCTTGCTGTGTAGCCC